AGTGAGAGCACTGTTAAAGTGAGATTTCTGTGGAAAAAGCAAGTCTTATGGCTTGACTGGTGTGTGTATTTGTGTTTAGCAATGTATTAACTATATATGTAAGGCTGGGCCTGTAGTTGTGGGAGGGGCTTTATTTTCCTTCTTAAGGGATGCCAGACCTCTCCTCAATACCGTTTCAGGTCTGGCGATTTGCATACAGTGACTTCCGGTCAGTGCAAATCACCATTTACCTATCTTCACCTCGTGAGAACTCTTACCTGGTTCTTTAGCCTCTTGTGATCCGGTTTTCTCTCTTCCCAATGCTCCAGACCCTTGCCAGGACACCCGTACCTTCTCTGGTCTCCTCACAGACTGAATCGACAAAACCGTGAGTCGTATAGCCAACTGTCGTGCCTCAGTAGCGGGTGCTCAGTGCTTTACAAGTCACGGAAAAGCCGACACCCCGCCACATTGTTCGGTGGCCACGAAATCCCCTCGGGCCAACTCATAGAGCCTCTCAAGCCGCTTGGCAATTAGCAGGGCTTCACCTATCACCAAATCTAGGTAATTTTTTCGCCACTTGGAAAGAGCTAGCCAACCAGTATAGAGAAGGTACCGTCATAACCTCCTATTCTTTAAATCATTTTAGTATGTAGCAACAACCAGAAGGTGGGGAGGAATTATCTATCCTTAGCACTCCATCACGAGGAGGCGACAACGCAAGCCCATCATCACTCAGATCTTGGACTATTCTAAGAATCACAGTGGAGTTAAGCAGAAGAAACATTCCTTTCCCTACTACTGCCAGAAAAGTGGAACTTTATAGACTTCTAAACACAAATACTGATAACACTGGGGCAGTAGAGGGATCCAGTAGTGGCCAATCATCCGACATACAGACAGTATAATAGTCGGTCTTGTCCTCAGTGGGACGAATCAACGACAGGCTGGACCGGATGTAGTCAGGAAGCCAACCGAGTTCACCATTGGCACTAGTTGATTCCTGATTCCGTATACCTCCCCAGCGCTCGATCTGGTAATACCCTAAGAATCCTAATTTTATCAACCTGGCACATATAGTGCCAGCAAACATTAAAAAGGATATCTTGGAGGGCAAAGATGTGAATTTGGTCTCGCTCCTGATTGCCACTCAAGATATCCTAGAGAATAAAAGGTATGCATATGGAGATGTATCTGTGGTATTGAAAGCCAGAGACCTTAGGCTGAATCTGAAATTGTCTATACCAGAGTTTATTCTCACCTTTTGGGACATACAGAGATGTGGTCTGTTTGATATACCCGAATCTTAGGGAAGAATTTGATCTCTATCTATACAAGATGGTGGACTTGGGGCTCAAGTATGGGGGTGCATCCTTTTACAATTACCACCATTTGATTTTTGCAAAGGCTTCTGCAGCACTGGCCCAGTTCAACTACCAGTCAGACTGGTCAGGTAAAACAGTAAGGTGTTTTTCCAATAACATGGCTACATTGTTAACAACGGACTCTCTGCATTATTGACCATCGTGTGCTTCATGAGGAAATTGACATGGCTAGCATCTATGCACGGTTTATGTGAACATATCCCAGGTGTTTTTAATATTGCAGCTGATCACTTATCTCAATATTGATTGCAGGAATTCCGCAGAGCATTACAAACGGCAGTCCAGGTAGCCTGGCACCACTGTAGCAAGACCCGATTATGGATTAGATAAGCTATTAGCTCAGGGTCATCACCTCTCACAGCTCTGCCAATACAAAAAATCATGAGACAGGGCTTTCTACATTTTTAACAGGTTCTTGCTTGAGTTCAATATTGTCGATACATTTTCCATGGATACAATGGTCGCTTTCATTTCCTTTTGCCACCTTCACTCAAAACTATCTTTCAATATTATTAAATTATACTTAACCGAGGGGCGTGGCTTAGAGAGCACCGTGGATGGAAGCACTTGCCTGAGCTCCGCAAACCGCTGGCCCGAAACAGCATATTTAAAGCTTAACCCGGCTACTTATTAGCTCATATCGAACCCTCCGACATGGCCAACCAGAAACACAAGAAGCAGGCAGAAAAATCTGACCGCTCAGGCTTCTTCGCAAACAGGGTGTCTTCCCCGAAGGACCAGGACCAAGAAGACGATGGCAGGAATGACATGATGCCATTACAGGCTTCCCGGGGCCTCAAAACCTGCCAGTGACCCAGGACTTCATACAGAGTTGCCTGGAGGAAATGTCCAACAAAATCCTGGCGAACATACATGAATCCTGAGAGAGCTCCGACAAGATGGGGGACAGGACAGCTTGTATGGAGCAATGCATGGAGGATCACACCTCCGCTCACAATGAAATGGCCGACCGGGTGCAGAGCCTACAACAACAACTGGTACTCACACAGCGTAAGGTCATGGACCTAGAAGACCGCTCCAGGCGCCAAAATCTCCGGATCTGGGGAATACTGGAGGAGGTAAAGCAGCAGGACCTGCACAAGTTCCTGATGGGATACTTCAAAATGCTGGTACCAGACTTACCTGCAGATAACCTCTTATCAGATAGGTATCACCGGGTGCAAAAAACAGCCTTCTTACCACAGGAGGCCCCCTGGTACGTGTTTACACACTTGCATTACTTTTATATAAGGGAGGCCATACTCCAGGCGATGAGAACGGGTAGAGACATCCCGCAAAAATACATCAAGATATTCTCTAGTTTTCTAAAGTTCTAGTTCACCGGTAATCAAAGGGCTCTTCATAGGGAAGGCTAGTGCAATGAAAAAAAATCCCAAGCCAAAATGAAAGGTTGGCTGAAAGCCTTATACCTCCTAGATAAACAAAACCAAATGTCCCCGACCCCAGCCTTAAAAACACAAATCAGGGAACTGTTATGCGAGATCAAAGAACATGACCTGACCAAAATGGGGTTTAGCTTACGGAAACTTAGAGCAACCCATTATTATTATTTTGTTATTTATATAGCACCATCAGATTCCGTAGCGCATTACACCCGCATTGAACAGGGCAAGCAAATGAATCGCCAGGAGACTATCACACAATAGTGAAAACACCAAGATCCCGTACATTCTGAACTAAACAGGGGAAAAGAAGGTGACCCCCAGGAACATCAGCGATGTCTTTGCGGATTACTATAACGCCTTGTACAACCGAGAGAATGACACTACCATGCCCCAGCCTACCCCTGCATGCATATAGAGATATCTGGAAGGGATTCTTCTGCCATCCCTCTCTGGGGAACAACTAGAAGTCCTACAAGCACACATTTCAGATTAGAAGGTGCTTCTGGCCTTCTCACATCTTCCGAGCTTGGAAAGTCCCTGATCCGGATGGATTCTCCAACACCTACTATAAAAAGTTTGCGGAAACATTAGCTCCCTACCTAACTACATTATTCAGTGGTAAAACCCTTAAGGCAGAAGTACCCGAAGACATGCTAGAAGCCCACATCGTTACGCTATCCAAAACAAGGAAAACCACCCACATAGAGCCAAAATATTTGGCCAATATCACTTCTAAATACAGATACCAAACTATACGCGAAAGTACAAGCCACCAGACTGAACAAGATCCTCCCATCACTGATACATGATGATCAGGTGGGCTTCACCATGGGTAGACAAGGGTCAGACAACATGAGGAAGGTTGTTAGCTTAATGCATAGTCTAATCAGGAGCCAATGGGGGGCGTTCTACTCTCCCTGGATGCAGAAAAGGCTTTTGACCGCCTCAACTGGCCTTTCCTGGACGCAGTGCTCCGTAAATACTCTGGGGTTGCACCTAGATGAGGGTCTAACGAACAGGCTGTGGGCGGCTTTCACTCTGGACTGGCGACATGACCACCTAACCCTTCTGGGCCTTAAACTCACCAAAAACCCTGCCCACTTGTTCAGGGACAACTAAACTCAAAGAATTCACAGACACTCTACAGTCGTGGAAGGGACGTTTCCTTTCCTGGCTGGGCCGTATAACAGCAGTGAAAACGTCGCTTATACCTAAAATCCAGTATCTCTTCCGAACACTGCAAATACCCATACCGAAACAATACCTGAAAAACGTGCAACACACCCTAACGTCCTTCATATGGGAAGGGAAAAATGTAAGGGTGGCAACGGGAACTCTCTACCAGGCAGTGGGTAAAGGGAGATTGGGCTTACCAAACTTAACTGCCTACTATAGAGCAGCATTTCTGCACAACATAGTCCAAATTAATCAACCCACCACGGCCCCCCAATGGGTGGAAATAGAATCACACTGTTCACCCCGGAGGGATCTCCGATCACTCCTATGGATGCCGAACCGCCCCAGACACATCCTCAATGTCCTCCTACCCACTACCCAGACTCTACTACGAATGTAGGATAAAATGAGGGATAAGCTGTTGGTGGCACCACAACTACCTTTAGCCATTACACTGCAAACAATAGGGCAGATGATCCCTATTGAGACATGGACAGGGAGGGGAGTGGCACCACAACTACCTTTAGCCACCCCACTGCAAACAATAGGGCAGATGATCCCTAGGAGACATGGACAGGGAGGGGAGTGCACCACATTTAGGGGTCGACTGAAACCATTCACTACCATTCAAACAGAGTATGGCCTCCCCCATAGAGCCATATTTCCCTACCTTCAGCTAAAATCGTATGTGACAGACAAACTAAGAGTCCTGAAAGACCCAAACAACACGAAACACATGTCAAAATTTGAGGAACAATGCATAGGTATCTCACCACTCAAAAAAGCAATGTCCTGGGGATATCATGAGTTAAACGCGACACAGACACACGTTAGACAAAATCAAACAGTCATGGCACCACGAATTGGACCTTAACAGCACACAAAGGGCTCACAGCCTGCGCCACGCACCTCAAATTACAGCGTAAAAATACTATATCGCTTTTACTTGGTGCCTGACAAAGTACACAAGATGTGGCTAGAGACCAGTAACTTATGCTGGAGGTGCGGAGTGGGGGTGGGCACTATGCTACACATCTGGTGGTCGTGCAGCAAACTCAAACCATTCCGGGACGATTCTACCCGCACCATGACTAGACAACCCTCAGACCTGTCTTTTATTCATGTTACCAAGGGGCATCCCAAAACACATCATATCCAAGGTATCCAAGAAGCCCATAGAGAATGGGTAGCGAAAACTAAACGCATACATTGAATAGGCCCGTTGACCGACTTCCTGATCTCGATCTTGTCGTTTAACAACTATGTATATGCTTATGTCATGATTTGTATCAGATGGTACCCAGCTAAAGTAAGGTCTAGCTCACCATAACAAAACCTCCTTGAACTGTTGCAACACTGCTACACACTGAAGAATATTGTAATGTGATGTTATGAGAATGTTCCCTTCACCCCATGTGTACCCCATTGTCCCCTCTTTTGTCTTTCTTTACCCCATTAAATTTTGATATGGTATTTTCCTTTTTGCCCTCTTATTTCAGGCCTACCGCATTGTCTGTTCCGGCACACCACGATTGACTTTGTCATATTTCTGTATGTCTAACACCCCTAACATTATGGCTTTTGATGCCCCAAACACAAATGTAAGGTGTAGCAGAGCCTCGTCCTAACAGGGACTTTCCTGCCACTGGATCGCAAAGAGTAGAAACAGGAACAAAAAAAAATGCCAAGTAAATAGCCCACCTCCTCCCTAGCAACTGGACAACACACAGTTCTGGGAGTACAACTGACTTTATTCTGTCACACATGGCTTTTATGCATTGCCCCTAGCATGGAGTTTCCAGATCAAGAGCACAAGGGTTTCTTTCCCAAGAGCCTTTGTGTCTGAGATATAATTGCGCTCAATTTAAGATAATTCAATTATCTCTCAAATACAGAAACTTTCATACATTTTTAACATACCCCAAAAATACATGACTCCCACAAACATATTCCCAAATAACCCCGATCTGAGTGCACAACATATCCAAAAAGCACTCATATTGATTTGGTAGAACGAAAGTTATGTTCGAATAAAGTTTTTACGTCCAGCCACGAGGGAATTTCAGGGGTTCCTGTGCGAACACAGACAAACGTTCTCCCTGGCTGATATGGAGCAAATGCTCCCCCTGTTCGGTAGATCTTCCGAATGTCGTTCGTCGAGAAGTTGAACGGACAGTGGTACAAACTCTGTCTGAGTTCGTGGAGACGTGAGGCCGAAAATAGTTCCAGACGTTCGACGACCAGGTACCACTGCTTGCGTTTGGGAGACACCCAGGGAAAACACTCAAGTGAAGGGGTCAAGCTGTTAATTTGTGGTTAACAGCCGGGGGAGATTAGTGTTCGCTGGGGCATTACAAAGGGAGTCTGCTACAATGCTTCCCTGTAACCACAAGCCGGCATACACAGTCTGACCCTGACGGATCGGCTCACAGAGCATTTCTCAAGGTCTGTCTGTCTGGACAACCCATCAGTATTTCCATTTTGTTTCCCAGGGTGATATTGTATTGTGAAGTCAAAAGGCTGCAGTGCCAAACTCCAGCGCAGCAGCCTCACGTTGTCCCCTGCCACCCGGTTTAGCCATGCCAATGGGTTGTGATCCATTAGCAAGGCGAATGGTTGTCCGTACAAGTATGGCTGTAACTTTTTCAGGGCCCACACCATGGCCAGGCATTCCTTCTCGATGGCAGCGTAGCTTACTTCTCAAGGTAACAGCTTGCGATTGATGTAAGCCATGGGATGTTCTCCGCCATTTGGGCCAACTTGGCTCAGTACTGCTCCCAATCCAAACATAGAAGCGTCTATATGAATAAAAAAACATTTAGTTGGATTGGGAGCTGCCAAGACAGGAGCATTCACAGGGGACTGTTTTGATTTGGATCAAAGAAAACTTTGATAATTTGTCTATCTACACCTTCCAAATTGATTGATTAATGCGTGCACGCTTTCCCTAGAAGTAATTCACACCGGAGACAAAGTTTCTGATTAGTGAAAAACCAAGGAATGCTTTATTCCCCGGAGTGGGGGCTCCTTCTTAAAGCAAAAATACGTCACAGTTTAAACATACATTATACATTCAACAATTGGTTAACAGTCTAAGGGGTCTTGTCTAAACCCCCCCTACAGGATGTAGTGTCGTCATTACAGACTTCTCCCGCCTATATTCCAGCCCCATCCTTGATACATGATGGGAGGGGGAGTGAGTAGTTTCTTTCAGTTACTTACCAGTGATTCTCCATTTTGTTACACGTGGCATATAGCTGTTAACTGGCACAAAGGAAGTGGGGGAGGAGTTAGTAAAGGAAGCTGTTAACACAGGAATTTTTTGGTTACACGAGGCCTGCTCTGATGGGAAGGGGGATGCTAGCAGGATGCGAGGAATTTACAGAGAGAAAATAGTGCCTGAACACATTGTAGGGGGGGAGGGAATATTTACTCTAGCAGCCAGTTTTAACATAGTGAACACAGAATAAATAGACATTAGTAAATAGCCATTTTATTTTAATTCATCTGTCCATAACAGTTTCAACTGCTGAAATCCCTGCTCACACTCTGGGGCCCAGACTACTTGGCTGCGAAGGTTTTTACGGGAACGATCCATAAGGGGCATGGCCAGGGCACTATAATTGGGCACAAACTTCCTATGCCCTTTGCCCTTCCTATTCCCTGCCATCTCAAGGAACACCTGAGTCTTCGACTGCCTCAATCTTAGCGGGCTCGGGCTTCTGCTGCCAGCATCCCACTCTGTTAACTAGGTACTGTACCTCGGCCATCCCTATATTGCATTTGCTGAGCTTAATCCTATCTAGGACCGCTCCTATATGGGCCAAGTGCTCCTGCCAGGTATCGCCGAAGATATCATCCAGATATGCACAGGCATAGTCTTGGAACCCATCTAGGAGCCGGTTCACCATCCTCTGGAAGGTAGCTGGAGCGTTTTTTACCCTGAATGACATGACCTGAAATTGGTAAAGACCGGACGGAGTGACAAAGGCCAACTTAGGGATGGCTTCGGTGGCTAGGGGGATCTGGTAGTACCCTTTACAAAGATCAATTGTAGTGAAGTACTGGCCCTTAGCCATCCTGTCTAGCAACTCATCTATCCTAGGCATGGGATAGGCATCCAACACAGTCTACAGAAAAACATGTCGTACCTTCCTGTTTTGGCACTAGGACTACTGGGAGGCCCAGGGGCTGTCGGAGGACTCAATAACCCCACAGTTAGAGCCACCCAATAACCCACCTGTATCTCCTTCCGCATATTCTCCCGTACCATTTCAGGGATTCGGTATGGGGGTTGGCGTAGTGGGAGTTGACCTGGTGTCTCTATCCAGGCACGTAGGAGAAGGTGGCTTTCTTCTCCTCTAATAACTGCAGTACCTGGGTACCCTCCTGAGGACTTAGCCTGTGACAAATGCTCCTCAATTTGGACGTTTGCCACGAACTCCTGTAGGAGGGTGGAAGCTAGTTTCCTGCCCACCGACTATGTGCCATATACATACTGTCAAACTCACTATTTTCCCTTCTGTTCTCAAGACATTTCCCTCCTGGTTCGTTTTTATAGTTTCCCGAACAGAAACACTTTCCCTGCGTTCTGTTGATAAATCTATTGAACACGAC